TTAAGACCTAAAGCGATCTTGTTCCAGAGTTACATGCCCCAAAAAATAGCGAAAAGGTTTATTTGGAGCCTATTTCATAGATGCCTCGGTATTAATGACGTCATAGAAACGTCATGCGATCGCAGTCATACTACAGGCTGTTTTCTGCTTATGGCCAAAACAGCATGGCTGCTGCTGCATTCGCAAAAACCATGATGCGGCACGTATGATACAGTGTGCGGAAGATGATTGGCTGTTAGCAAGATTTCGCTGCTGAATACGCGGCGCAAACGTAAGCGTGAGCACTATCGGGTTGTACGGCACTCGTCGCGAACGGGGCATTTTTCCTTATTTCTAGGCCACAGGTCAACGTTATAAAAAGAACGACACTGTCTGTAAAAAAGGACGGCACCCAAAAAACGGTCACTCCCGAAAGTTATAAAAAAGAAGACGCGACGGCCAATCTGTCTTGTTTACCCTGCTGGCGTTTTTTCTTCCTCTTGAAGAAACCTCTTGAGCCGCATTACGGACCCCCTTGGGACTTTGTTTTGGAGGGAGGTCAGGGTGAAATGCGGTGCTATGACTGAAAATCTGTGCGGAAATTGCGAGAAAACCTGCAATTTGATAGTTCCGCGAGCTGTGCAAGTGTGAGACCACACCTATCTGACAAAAGTGTGTGAACCGGCGGCTTGAAATGTGTGTGATCACCGGTGGTGTGTGCCAGTGGCTTGTACTGATCTTGATGTGATGGGGAGTGTGCGTGCAAGGTTTATACCTCTGAGAGAGAACATCGTTTTGGTATTCACTTCCTTGCATTTTGCCCATTCAACCATAACTACATGCACTTGTCATGCCTCCAGCGTTGTGCAGGGTCAGCATGTTTGCAATGTCATTGCACCTCATGTAAAATGTTCCTGTTGCTTTTTGGTAAAGCAGTCCGATGGCTGCAGTATGTTGCATGAATGTGGAAATGGGAGGTGTGTTCGCATCTTTATAACCTACAGTCAATATATGATTGCACGCTTGACCCATCTTTTCATAATGGAATGTATTAAGAAAGCAGCATGGATTGCAGTACAAAAACCACATGGTTGTTCATTATGTCATGCCGCAGTACCGCACTGAGGTAGTGCCACAATGAAGATGTTGATTCGTGCGATTACACAATGTACCACATTGGTTGACTACTCTATGTCAAGCCTTTGAGACAGCAGCTTGTAAGTTATGAATTACTGGCAACAACTGATTTAACAATGCCAAAGGACTATCAACAGCATGAGTGTCATTTCACCACAATGGTTATATCAAGGTTTATTATTAATTGCATAAATAATCCTAAGCAAGAAAATATATTGGCAGCCCAACCTTACCATTTTTACCATAGTAATGGCAATGCTTTGGCAACCAATCCATAGCAACGGTACAAATTTGTTTATTTTCGCATGACACCCCATTTCTAGTTATAACGTAACTACTGTGCACATCACATGATATCAATGTCCGGACAACAGCACCGCACGCAGCGATGAGTCGACAATAAAGCATTGACAAAATCATCAACAGCATACGAGCAACAGCAGCAGCACAACATATCGTGCCTTGATATTAACAATCAGACATAAAAGCTGGCGATCGCGACGTTGCGTATGTCAAACAGCCCACCAAAGCTTTTCTTACGGCCGGCACCAAGACAAAAAATGAACAAATAACCCACCCACTAAACCCCCACCCGACACAGACTTCGCGACGAGAATGGCCGCTTGGCGTCAGCTTTTGTGTGCTTGGGCGTATTCTTGAAGTCTGGATGCCAGATGCTGCCAGGTATGGTTGTCGTCACAAAACCATTCCATGACGCCATCAAACAATGACGTAATGGGGCCCAGTTTTACAAACTTTGAAACTTTGCTACTTAGCGTCATTTTGAACCTTGAACGCTTACCAATAGTTACAACTAAATTTTTCTCGTCATATCTGATGCTCACCTCAATATCTTTTAATGCGGAACATTCCCTTGCAGCAAGCATGAGATAGGATGAAACAAGCTCATTTTTAACTATTGGTATACTTTCAAGGGGAAAATACTGCAGTGGATAACACAATCTCTCTGCTTAGGAAATATCTTCTTCCATGAGTTACTGTTTGATTACGTCATCGTGCCTCCCATAACACTGCTTGAGAGCCAGTTGGCGGCTGTTATATCTGGCAATCGTGCTCGCGAACGCCGGGTATGAGCGGCTCGGCAATTATATTTTACTTAGCATTGATCTCCACATCACCAATGGATGACAAAATTTGAATGGCGTTATTATGGCGTCATGGATGCCTGGGTGACCTTGAAAGTGTCTGCCTGAAATAGTCTGCATATCTTTGCGGGTTTGTAACTCAGAAATTAAAGGGATTTGGGTCTGAAGAAGGACAGCGCTGCGAACTTCACCGAATGGTCTTCAAGGTGGCTATTTCGTTCCAAAACCCCATACAAATGTGGAACACTCCCTTAAAGTCCATCGGGTCACTTTGCTGTCAGTCGGAAATGGACGCGGCTACTGGGCTCACCCCAGGCGTGCCTAACCTGGACGACAACTCGTTCTCTCGCCTGACCTCCAGGATGACCGCTCCATACGGGACGATGGTACATCGGGTCTCGTCTACGACGGGGCGATCCACCGCTCCCTCGGCCACGCCCACCGCTCGCAGCTTCCCATTGCTGCGCATGCGCCTTAGGCAGTGCCTCGTCCAGCACGGATATGCGCCGAGCACTGCTCTGTGCTGTTATCGCCGTGAGGACACAGTGTGTTTTTTTTTTTACCTCCATTACTAAATATATCGTAAAACGATTAAAACAAACTGAGCACATTTACGATTGTTATCATGTCCACAGTGCACATACCTGTATCTTCTTAATACGCTCCACTATTATGGAAACAATTTACACTCCGCTGAACGGACACAGCTGCAAAGCGATTGTCTATCTTGTAACGTGTGTCCGACTCGAGACGGTGGTGCATTTGAACATCTTATCACCTGAACACACGCCCTTCATATCTGCCATCTGGCCCTCTGTGTGTTAGGTCGATTCATCAACTCCATCAACGAAATAACTGGTAAAAAAAACACCAATCAATTGAGCAAATAAGGGAGTCCAACACGGCGAAAGATTTTATTTGTAGTCCGCAATAAAAGCAGCAGGCTCGAAAAATAGGAAGCCGTCTATGACCACTATGTATTTACTGCGGAGTTGCGGTAGATCTTCGAGACTATGAGCGGGTTATGAAGAAATTAGAATTTTTTTTAATGTTCCTGCTTTCGTGCCCGCACTGACAGGGTGAAGTCACTCGCGCTTGTAAACAAAATGTTGTCCACGTCCATGCTTAGTGGCACTAGCTGGGCGGCACTGTATGAAACTAGCGGGATACAGAACTAGCTACTACTGCTATTGCAGAGAGAAAATCTACAAAAAGTCGAAAATATTTCCGTATTGATGATCTGGCTTTCCGCCGTACTTTGCAGTATAGTTCATGCTGGTGATTCTCGTCACTTTTTCACCCCCTCCGTCACAAGAGGCCTTTTCCATGACCCTTTGTGAAGAAGGTACAGACCAGCTGAAATTCACATAGATGAGACAGTAGTAGTAGCCTTATTCCTTGGAGAAAAAAAAACAGGAGAATGGAGATATAGAATGGAGAATAGACAGATATCCAAAATTCGTCTTGGTGAAAGCATTGGTTCAAGAGCGTATCATTATTTGTATACGGGGTGTCAGATCTGCTGGTAAAGTAAAGTATCTTTTGGAGTGAGCTTTTTCCTGCCCCACCATTATTATCGTCTGCTGGTTTGTGTACCCTGCTCGATATAATTCGGCGTGCCATTGCCTATCACTGTAAAACTTTTCGCTACCACTTTCTCATCTTCTTTCATATTCATGTATATGACAAACTGAGCCGGAATACAGTAGAACTGTAGCTGCTGTATCCCAACAGTAATATTTCAACGGCATTTGAACGTTAAGTAAGCGTGAGCCAACGTTAGCAATCCTCCAAAACCCCAACAAGAAACTCCATATCGCTCAAAGACATGAGCTTTCTCTCTCAAGAACGAGTTTTACTTTTCGCGATCAAGTGATACTTTGTTGGGTTTTTCATTGATGAGCTCCTGTTCCCCATGAATTTTAATGATTCTATCCAGTGTTTTTAATGATATTCGGGCTGTGTAAACCCATTGCACGGCACTGATTTGCTGCGGTTTCTCCCGTTTGGCTCGGGGTGCGCCGTATGTGCCGACCTGATTGACGGCTTATATCTGACGGTATCGCAGGGCTGTCCAGACCGAGGAAATCTCTTAACAACAAGTTTCCTGCAAAATGTAACCAGGATTTTCCTCGCTCTCAGCAGACTACGTCGTTTGTGGTCTCTGGATTAATGCAGCTGGCACTCGTCGATGCTGTGTTCCTGCAAGACGTGAATAGGATACTCCCTACTGCCAGGAGAGCGAGCAGATTGTGGCTTTCTGGAAGAATGCACCTGAATGCGTTGTGGTGTCTTTGTTCTTGGCGCCCGTGGTCAAATGAATCGGTACACTTCACCACAACTCCATCACTGCTCTTCATTTTCCCCATTGCATCAATAACTCTCGCTCGTGTTTTGGGCATTTTTAGGCATCAAGGTAGCAGCCTTGGTCACACTTTTACCAAAGCGTCATCTTTGTTCCAGGACGGCACTTACAATGTCTTCAATTGCTTAACTTTGCGTTTTAGGGGAAAATGTCTATGGAAAGCACTGCAACCAAATGAAGGAACAGTTTTTTATGCATGCTTCACATCCCAAACTCTCTCCTTGGAAATGCTGGGACTCGCACCAGGATCTTGTTGATTGCGAGCTCGGTGCTCTACCAACTGAGCTAACCGGTATGGTCCAGTTTTTAGGCTTCTCCCACGATTACGGACGGGCGTCTTCCGGAAGACGTTGTGGAGTCGTTGCGGACTCAGTGTGAGCCGGGCAAAAGACTGATGCTTAGATAACACAAGAATGAGGTGAGACTTCCGAGTAGCACTCTTAAGCATAAATGAACTCTCCAATTCAGAAAAGGCTCTTGTTACCTGCACCTAGGGTATTCTTGGTCAGATTTGGCCCAATTCCGGCAAAATGTAAGCATACGAAAGGTAGAGCCAATGTATGGATCAGTCGATCTCTTGGGCACTCCCTGGCCCAAAAATGTTGTGACTAAAATCTAGCTACATTCTTATAATCCCACACTCGCTGAAGGCCATCTATGGCACAACGATCCTTGGAAAAGATACATTTTGTGACATTCCAATATGTACCATGAAGAGCACCTTGGCAAACACTGGGATCTAAATTGCGTGGTAACTTGTCATGCAACCATGGACCCCATTCTCACCGGTCCTGGAACCTCTTGTACGCTTCGCGCGCAGGAAAGCGTACTGGTTAGGCAGAAATTATCTCAACGAGCGCTATTTACAAAGAGTTTTAAGTATTGCATACCTATGCGGGTCATCTAGATGTAGTGACTTTTCTGTCAAACTTAAGACAAATTTAATGTTTAGCAACGAAAGTGACACCACGATGCCTTCATAGATAATAAAATTTACTTTCCGTAGAGGTACAACAATCCAACAAGAACTATTGCAACTATTAAGCGTCGAGTTTGCGACGGGTATGCGGCGTTAAAGTGAAGGCTCTGCATTTGAAGGCATCGAAAAAACATCACACATCTGATGAAAATAGCTCATTTCTACCCAATGGCATACTTTAACGTGGAAAAGAATGCACTAGATAATACAATTTCTTTCTTTCCGTAGGGATACAGCAATCTAACAAAAAATATTGCAACTATTTAGCTTCGAGTTTGCGACGAATATCCGGCTTAAAGTGAAAGCTCTACATTTGAAGGGATCGAAGCAAACATGACATATCTGATTAAAATAGCTCACTTCTAACCATTGGTACACTTTTACGTGGAAAAGAATGCTCTAGATAACACAATTTCTTTTTTTAGGACATGCGTTCCTCAATACGTCACTGTTTGCATCACCGTACCTTACACAACATTGATTTAAGTCAGTTGACGGCCGTTGATTTGTAAATTGTGTCCACGAACACCAGATATGAACGATTCGACCACTTTCTGTTTTCGCTTTGATCGCCACATAACCAATGGAGTGACATTATTTGAATGGCGTTATTGTGGCGACATGGATGTCTGGGTGATCTACACATATCCGCGGGCTCTAGCTTGGAAACTGGAGGAGTTTGGTTTTAACAAATGCGGGACTGTGAACTGCACCGAACGTCTTCAAGAAAGCCATTTCAGTTCAAAACCCTGAGCACATGACGAACACTCCCTTTGAGAATGGCCTTAAAGTTATTGCACCTGTCCAACTTTGTCTCTAGCGAAGGCAGGTCCGGTTTTAGAAGCGATGTGGTGATTCGCTCCCGGCGCTGGTGAAGGCAGCCATGCCAGGCGGGATGCCGCGGTCGGGACGTGAGGAAATCGGCCCAGCACGAGTCTAAGAAGCGCCCTAGCAAGATGTCGTGAGATTTCACGGGAGATTTCACACCGCACGTGTGGCAGATGTTACCGCGGATTACTTGGTAGACCCCACGTGCCGCTGTATGCTGGTGTGCCACCCGGGCGGCAGTGGTGGACGCCCTTGATCTGGTAGCTCTTCGCCTGTAGGTAGCCCGCATTTAGTGGGCGCGTTGTCGTCATGTAATGCTGCACTTAATTTGTTTTCGTTTGCTTGTATTTGTTTGTTTTGCACTATATTGCACTCAATCTGCTCGTGAGTGAAACTTTATCATCTAGAACAGTCAGACGCACTTAAAAACATGCCAGTAGCTACAAGTTAGTTTTTATATTATATCTGAGGTTTGCCTCAATGTCTTCACATGTTGAACAGTCACTTTAACCTACAATTAGACGTGATCAGTCCAGCATTCGAGCGCGTTCGTTCACCGAAATGTTGGGGCGCACTTCAAGTTGAGCTGTGCAGAATAGGTTTCTTGTCATGCAGCACCAGGGAGTCTTTCAGCAGGATCCCACGCGGTGTGGGTCCGTCGAGTGCAGGGCAAATTCCTCACATAGATCCTTGGTCATGCATATTCTGGCCTGAAAGATGCTCTGTCTATCATCTCATTGCGTCACTTCAAAATTAACTTTCCGGCTTAAGACGAAATGGGATAATCTTTGGTGTCTAAGAAATATTTATGGGGAAAAACCATTTTTCTGAATTTCATTCGCAACATTCTCTGTGAGCATGTGGCCAAAATCGACCCGCCGAGCTTCGTGGCGCGACTTTTCGCCGCGCCACTGGGCTGGGAGTGAGCAAGGGTGCGTGTGTGCGTGCGTGCGTGCGCGCGTACATGCGCGCGTACATGTGTGTGTGTGTGTGTGTGTGTGTGTGTGTGTGTGTGTGTGTGTGTGTGTGTGTATATATGTATATATATTCATATATACACATGTGTGTGTGTGTGTGTGTGTGTGTGTGTGTGTGTGTGTGTGTGTGTGTGTGTGTGTGTGTGTGTGTGTGTGTGTGTGTGTGTGTGTGTGTGTGTGTGTGTGTGAGTGTGTGTCGCGCGGGCATTTTCGAAAGGGTACCTAAAGTTGCAAATATTTTTTTTGGTATTCGCCCTACTGTAACTGACTTCTTTGGCGATGCTTCATGTCTTCAGACCCGTGGGCCTTATGAATATCTTATACCTGACATTGGTAGCGTCAACATTTCATCTATCTGTCATTCTGACATTCTACCTATGAATTCAAGTTGTCATCAATAACAGGGAGTTTTGATTGTTTTTTTGGCAACGGCTTGTGGCAGAAATTTGCATCGATACACTTCATGGACATTTCTTATCGCACTTCGTGTACAGTGAGGAAAATCAAACTAAAAATAGAGTTGTTTTGGATATTACTTATTATTATTGGATATTATTTATTATTAATCCCAACAAGTGGAGAAGGGCCATTCTGTCCCAGCGCGGGTTCTCTACCGGCTGTCATTCTAGCAACACGGGGGGAGACTCCTAGTCGATCCGGAGGTTCTTAGAGGGATGTATCTTACACTGGTCCCATCCCTGACGCGGAGGGCCCTCTGGCCCAAGCTTTGGCCCCAGATCGATGCAGGAACTCTCATCGATGCAACAAGATTACATAGCCGCAGGTGGTTCAATAATTAGCGCGGAGTCTCCTATTCGGCTCCATGGGCCCTTAGCTAAAATTGTATGGATCCCCTGTCCATAACGGAGCCCCTGACTGACACAGGGTAATTCATTGTCTCACTGTGGTTTCTCGTTGAAAGCTCGCATGTCTTGTTTTATTGTCAGAGAGACCCGACCAACGCAAGAGGCCATCTGGCACTTGGAGCCAAGTGCCTGTCCCTGTTCAGCAAATGTACACTGGCCGAATCGGGGCCTCTTGCCGACACAGGGCCCTCTGTCAAGCACTGTAAGCCCCCGACGTACACAGAGGCCCTCATTGTTTTCAGTGCT